AGGATGTGTATAAGAGACAGACTTCTTTCTATCTATATGCCTATATGCATGTGACTAGCTGACTTTTTGCCATATTTACACCTGTAAATACCATGCTACCTTAACTTTGAATGAGGCCATTTCAACTGATGTCAGTCAATGCTTTGCCAGCATATGCCCGGAATTTGACTGACTGCCTTTTAAATGTTCAATATAAGCTCAAGCTAAAAATCCTTTCTGTGACTCAGTATATAATCTTTATAGGAGCTAGAGAATGGAAACAATGCCAAAGCATACAGCTTTAGCTTTTACTGGGTCTGCAAATTTCATTGGTACACTAAGGCGCGATTGACAAATTATTCCAAACGACAAATCTGCGTCAGACACGTTTTCTATCTGTCTCTTATACACATCTAGATGTGTATAAGAGACAGGTGTTCTTGCAATTTCATTCAGAATATTTTTCCCATGAAAATTCTGTGTAATTACAACATTTATTAGCTACAAGTATTTATTAACAGTTTATTGCATAATCCTTTTTAGATGAAATTATCACAGGTATTGAAGAGAACGAATTCACACAGCAACAACGATGGCAAATGCAATAAAAGGTAATATTGATATTAAATTGAAGGAGTAGGGGAGGACAAAGCCTGACTTGATGGCTTTGACAAGGGTGGAGAAATTGAGTGGAAAATGTATGAGAGGGGTCCATTCCTGTTGTTCGGAAAATAAGAATAAAAAATTCAAAAAACTAGTTAAAGTTAAATATTTTCCAAAACTAGAAAACACATCAGAAATCTGATACCTGAGTTTTCCTGACATCAAATGTTTAATATGATTGTATATATCTTATGTTATTATCCCTATTAGTTTTATATTTGCATGAGGAACAAGAACTCTTTACCCACTCTATTGTAATTCAACATAATTTATTCCCAGGTTTGGGAAAAGGTCTAAACAAAAACAATTTGGTATACATTAAATTTAGATTTTATGGAGCTACTCATTTCCAACATTTTACATACAAAGTTGATTTAGAATGTATAAAACAGTAATTGGATTTTGCCCCATAAAACTGTTTTTGATATGAGATATATGGGTTCAGAAGATGGATTGATGATTAGACAAACAGACGTTTAAGTGATCTACTAATGTTGTAGCAGGAGCTGTCATCATGTAACAACAGCTATAAAAAATTCCTGGGTGTACAGTAGTACACACCCAATTGGAATGAACTAATTTTCTTAAATGCCTAGTTTCACATAAAAACAAATCAATAAATAACATTTTTTTTTTCCAGAAAAGCTAAGAAATGATGTAGGACTTAGCGAAGTCCTAACGAAGAAACTGTGTTCTTCCGCAGCTACATTATTTCACTAATAATTCAATGCAATACCTGCAGGCATTCGCAATGCCTGCAAGTCAGGCGTCATTACGAACATGACGACCCAGGAATTTCAAAGTAAATGGTGTGTGACCGTAAGTAACAAAACATGAAGAATATCATATATAAAATCGACCTGCCCAACCACTGATCCGCCCCTGAATGCAATGCTTGAAGCAGATTTTTGTATATTTTTTTAAATATTATTAATAAGATTAATAAGTTTTTTTTGTTTTTTTTTTATAATTAGATCAGAAACCACAAGACAGCAACCCAAGGGCCTGCGTTACTAATCCTAGAAAAGGACTTGGTAGAAATGATGACTATGTATAAAAACATAGTTCACAACCAGCCTGAACCAGATGGTACAGCATTCTTTGTTTGTCAAAATGATGGCGAAGTCAGACCATGCCAGGACCTCACTAGGTTATGGCACCATCTAGGTGTGCGGCTAGGAAAAAGTATTAATTGTACACATTTTCGCAAAACAACTTGCCACCATGGTAAGACCCATTTCAACCTGTGATTAATTCTTTCTCTTGGATTAAAAACATACATAAATGTGCTCTATTTATATCATGATCGATCCATTCTCTTTTTAAAGCGGACTATTAGTGACACTTTTTAAGCGGCAGCCTGGTACCTCCTTTTACCTTTTTCCAAAATTGGTTTCATTATTTATAAATCACATATTAAAGTTGCTATTATATAAGAAATTAATGACTTATGAACTTTAACTACTGGGGAAATCCACTTGACAGTTGATTAAGTTCGCTTTTTGGTTTTTCTCACTCTATTTTTTTGTTCCTTATATATGTGATTATAGAATTAGGATTTCTTATTATACAGTCCTGGCGTCAAAGCAACATTGAGAAAAATTGAAGACTGATTGCAGGGTACATGCATCATTCTTTAGAAACACAAAACAAGTATTACAAGGCCTCACAATTAAGGTGCTCATGACGGTTTGCAAGCAAAGCGATTACTGAACAAGATAAAAGGAATTGTATGTACTGTTTGCAATATGTTCTACTTATTAATAATAATAATAATAACAATAATAAAACAGCACTTATTACGTGCCATCTATCAACCGAACTATTCCAAGGCATGAAAAGAAAAATAATTGATTAATTTTTATATTGATTTGTTGGAAAGAAAAACACTGTGGTAAAATTTACAAATTGAAAAAAAGGCAAAAAGTAATAAAATATTATTGTTATAATTGCAATTATTAATACTTTTACTCACAGATTCATAATATATTATACTTACCTTTATCTTATTCAATTACCTATAATAAATTCTACTTACATCTGAATGTCTAATTTTTCTGCTGCAATTTATTTTTATTATTTAATTTGACAACTCCTAGGCAACAAATGAAAATAATAAGAAGAAGGAGAAGAATATGACAACATACAATTTTTACTATGTCGACTTGTCAAGATAATCTATTTCGCCATGACAACATACAATTTTTACTATGTCGACTTGTCAAGATAATCTATCTTGCCATGACAACATACAACTTATATTATGTTGACTTGTCAAGATAATCTCTCGCCATGACAACATACAATTTTTATTATGTCGACTTGTCAAGATAACCTATCTTGCCATGACAACATACAATTTATATTATGTCGACTTGTCAAGATAATCTATCTCGCCATGACAACATACAATATCTATTATGTCGACTTGTCAAGATAATCTATCTCGCCATGACAACATAACATTTTTACTATGTCGACTTGTCAAGATAATTTATCTCACCATGATAACATACAACTTTTATTATGTCGACTTGTCAAGATAACCTATCTCGTCATGACAACAAAACATTTTTAGTATGTCTACATATCAAGATAATCTATCTCGCCATGTCGACATGATATGTATATTAGGGACTTTTACATACATGCCAAGTTTGAGTTTGGCTGTGGATGGAGATTTGCACAGGAACGAAACAATTTAGACGTGGGTCGAGGGCCCCCGTAGGGCCCCGGAAATTTTTAGGCCTAGATGCTCTCTGGTGCACTCTGAGCAGATCTCTAGTGCTCAAATTAAATCTTAAAAATGGGGTAATACATACTAACATTTTTTGAAAAATAAAATTCTATAGCTTTATTTCAGTGTTAAAATTCTTAACTTTATTTATTTTTTTCAACAAAATTTTCAAAATACTCAAATACACGTTTTACATTTGACAAACAAGTCCGACATTTTGGATTTGGATGATGCATCGATGATGATAAGCGCAGCCAAGACCCTATTTTTGCCGGTAAAACCATCATGGATTCTGGTTCGCTGAAAGTATTGATATGCATGATCGCGGTCGTAAAGTTAAAATAGAAATGACGTAATGTGTACAGCGCCACCAGTGTTAATTTTACACGAATACATTGTTTACTATCGGAACGGCATGTAGTCAATCAAACTTATCAACTGACTAATCAGAACAGCGCTAGGGATACGCGTGCGTCTCACAAACACACGTGTTGTCCCACAAACGCACGTGTTCGCGTATGTT